ATAAACTCCCGTTGTACTCTTTCAATAGCTGTGCTATAGCGTTCATAGTAAGGGTTCCAGATAATACTACAATATTCGACTTTGGATCTAATATAAGCATAATATAATAGCTTAATGGACTTTATGTTATGGAAATTCCTGCAATTCCTTACTATGAAACCATAAGCCGCCAATGCTTTTGATGTTTTTTATTTATATGCTGACTAAAAGTTGACTTTTGATCATAGATTATACCTAAAGCACGTACATCAGACAGAGCATCTTTCTAGCACAGACCCATCAATAGACTACAGATATTCACAGTCATTTTCCTGGTGTAGCACATTAAACTCCAACTTGTTTTCTACACACCAAGACAGCACAAAATTTAATTGGTATTGTAGTTTGATACAATCATCAGGAGTATTTATCTGCGAATAAATTTTTAGGTCGTCAGCAAAGCATAGGCGTTCACGTTCAACTTCACAGAGGTCATTAATAAATATCAAAAACGGTAATGGTCCCAAGTTGGACCCCTAAGGAACTCCAAAAGGTGCCAAGTAGGTCTCAGATTGGAAGCCATTATAGCTAACAAATTGTCTACGATCGGATAAGTAAGATTTCATCAACTTCCTAGCATCATCTGTAAAACCAAGTGCACCTAATTTATTTAATAAATTGACGTGGTTAATTTTATTGAAAGCATTCGAAAAGTCTGTATAAATAACGTCAACTTGTTCATTACTATCAATTGCTTCCGAGAGGTACTGCGTCATTATAAACAGATTTGTGGCTTTTGAGCGATTAGAAACAAATCCGTGCTGATTCAATGACAGCTGAGGCTGGACGGCAGTGTAAATGCGACTGTACAAAACTATTTCAAAGACCTTCGAGAACATGCATAATATAGAGATTGCCCTGTAATTCTCAATATTTGACCTATCCCCACACTTAAACACTGGACAGACCTTAGCGATCTTCCAAATATCTGGGAATCTTTTTGTTATCAGTCAAATATTAAAAACCTTAGCTAGAACACCAACGAACACTTCCACACAATCTTTGACTATAAAGGATTGGATGCCATCTAGACCAGATGTCATTTTATCCTTTAGTGTTTTAATGGCCCTCCTTAATTTATGTTCCTCAATTGAATGAAAATGGACAAATAAATTACTATGATTAAGTGAGGCATCATTATATGGCTTGGGAGTAACATAGACGCTGTTGAAAAACTCACTGAATGCGTTCACTATATCCTGGGGCTGAGCTATAGAATTATTTTGAAATTTCATTTCATTTCAATTATCCCTGGGATTCGTGATGTGTTGTTTTTGGAGTGAACGTATGGCGAAAAAGCATTGGGGTTGATTGTTAAAGAATTCTGGATATTTTCAATATATTGATCATACGCTGATTTAATCTGGTTTTTTATCAAGCGGCGCAAACGTTTGAATTCTTGGAGATCACCAACAGAAGCAGACCTGATGTATTTTTTTCCTAAATTTAGCTTTAAGTTTAATGTTCTTAATAATAGCTGAGTGAAACCAAGGTGCGTATCGGTGACTGTCATTCTTATACAGACGTATGTGCCTGTAAAAAACTTGGAAAATGTTGCCATAAAATTCATCAACAATATAATTAACATCAGAAGAGCAGAATAAAACGTCCCAGTCAAATTTTTTCTGTGGTTATAAGTTATTTTACTAAGGTTGATTGTTAACTTAGGCTCTTTAATGAATATGGCAGTCAAATCCAAGTTGTGCCCATAAAAACCTATATGACACGTATTTGGCCTCAATTGCTAGATTTATTATGATTTCGTTTTGGAAGTGACCTTGAAATTACTTCCAGAAACCATCATAGTGACTAACTGACCCTTGGTTCGGACTGATGTGACTAGAACATTCTAAATGATAGTTGGTTGGGCTCTGAAATCAGCGACCCAAAAAACGCAGCTCTATCGAATTTCGTATACATTCCGTAGAAAATGTAGTTTTTGCCAACCTTCCGTTGTTCTGGACCACTGTGCGACCTAACACATTATTGAGGGAATTCCACATTCCATTCCATGAAGAAAATGGAAATTAGAATAAATACCTTATGGCACAGGATGATAATGTAGTTTTTGCCAACCTTCCGTTGTTCTGGACCACTGTGCGGCCTAACACATTATTAAGGGAATTCCACATTCCATTCCATGAAGAAAATGGAAATTGGAATAAATACCGTATGGCACAGGGTGATAGTTCTGAAGAAGCATCTGTTTTCATCGTTCAGCGCGGACGTCTTTTGACAAAAAGACAAGAACCATCGCGTTACTTGTAGAAAAATAATTACAAGTTACAAAAACCGATTGAACTATTGATTATTCCGTTTGTATTATGACTTGTCATTGTGTTTTATGTGAATGTTATGGAAACAGGCCCATTGTGTGTAATTATAAGTGATAAATTAGGAGGTATCGAGAAGAGTGGCGCGAAGTAATTATAACAATGCTTTGAGGACGATAGATTGGCGTCCTAAAAATGGATTTAATTTGGTAGAAAACAGTGGCGGGCCCTTTTGTATCTCAGGGTACATCAATGCCGAATAAATGCTTTACCTCGATGTCTTGCATCTAGACTGCGATACCCCGATTTGTTTGGGGTTCATATCTAGCGTTCATCTACTGCCTTATTGCACAGGTTTTCTACATTTGCCAACAGTTACGAATGACAGAATGCTGCCTATTTTACTAATTTTTTATGGCCTGCAGCCGTTGCCTAGACTTTTAAATCATCTCGTTTGGTTACCAATGAAAAATCCCTTGGATTGTTAAAAAATTCATATCTACAGACAATACTCAATTCAAGTTCCCGTAGTGTACAGACTGAAACTAAACCAGGGTCATAAATACTTGAGTATTTGTAAGCTTGGAGGTCCAGAATCGTAGTTCCCAAATTTTTTCAACAGCTGTTCATTAGTCTCCTTCTTATTTATGAATTGTAAGAGAAATCTCTTTGGGCATAATCTTTTGATCTTTTTACAAATGTTATTATATCAGAAAAAATATTACAGAATCAAATATTTATGTTTTGCATTGTAAATGGTGTTAAAAACAAAATATCACTATATTTACGTTAGTCATGCGTCACGTCTTGGCAGGAGGTGTCATAGTCTCCCAGATAGTAAAATATGGAAATTTTTTCTTTGGGTATAAATTCTTTTTATGCTTCATATAAGCAAACTAAGTTCTTTCTTTATGGCGAAAATATGCCTCGGGCATTTAAAAAATGTTTTTTATGAAATACTTACTCAATTAATGCCGACGTTATCAATTTACAGTTATGCTTGCTGGACTTAGCTCGCTGCATCTACGTCAGAAGTTATTGACTTCTGGTAATCCGTTTCGTAGGACATGTTATTCCAAATTATTGACCAACTAGGTTGAACAGTATATGTTTCTGGTGCTTCTTATGAGTTTAGGCTTGTGCTGTCTCATTTTCTGAATATGGGATGGTTGCTTAACTTTCGTTCATTGCCCACCTGACACCAAGATTAAACCATGTTGATGGGTTGCCAAATAGTACGCAACAGCTGTTCATGGTTGGTAGTCTGTGGTTGGATGAACGAAACCTATATTACTAGTCTATTATCTTCAAACATTTCCCTTTCACGTAACTGCAAAATTCGCGTTCGTCTTCATTTCTACTGCTTACTAGCTACCACTGACTTGCATTAGCTGTCTGAGTTGGCTAAATATCCAGGTACGTACAGAGGCAGGATTAGAATGAATGAATTATGAAATTAGACACATACCGGTCACCATGAGGAGCGGGTGCATAGGCCACTTAGACGGGCCCTTACGCACCCCTACATTCCCTAAGCATAAAGCTCCGCCCTTCTAGCAAATTTGAGTATAGCCTTCAGTCCTAGTTAAGGAACGTTCTGGGTGACCAAAGTGATGGACGCCAGTGAAGTCTGCTTGTGGTAGCTCAGAGCCTAACAGAGTCACAGAACATGCGCCGAGATCTCTTTATCTACCCCTCAGCACTCACACAAGGGTTCCTCAGCCACCCCCATCTCGTGTAGGTGATGCCTCAACGTGTTATGGTCAGACAACAGTCAAACCAGCAACCTTAGGTTGTTCTATTCAAGGATAAGAAAAAGCGTCCATCCTTAGCGCTGGGCCCTACGATAAGTTCCCATGCCGGGAGAAGATGTACTTCTCCATTTTCCTCCTGACTCTTTGCGGGTGTACCTCTATGGCTGGCCCAGGACCAACAAGCTTGCTGGCTGATCCTGCTTTCGTAAAAGCTTCCGCCGTAGCATTGCTCTTTATTCTAGAGTGTCCAGGTATCCACACTGACCATATCGGATGCCTCGTTGCTAGACAATCCAGAGCCTCCCTGCATTGAAATACAAGGCTCAAAGTAATCTTACAGGCACTTAATGCCTTCATTGTAGCCTGGCTGCCGGAGAAAGTTACAATTTTTCTGCCAGACCCTCCCCTCTCTAAAGTGCGAGATACGCAAGCCAGAGTCGCGAAGATTTCTGCATGGAAAATAGTGGTGTATTCAGCAAGAGGCAGAGTTAGCCTAGTTCTAGGCGTCAGAGCCCTCTGCAGCGATCGAGCGGTCGGTGTACCAGACCTGTCCACTCCCTCCGAAGATCTTCCAGCTACCGGAGTCCCACCCTGCCCTCGCTGGTTACTCGACATTAAACTTGCCGTTGAAGCGATATTTAGGGGTGATCAGATCACTCCTGCTCTGAAGGACAGGATCCTCCTTTTGCAGTTCGAGTAAGATGGCAATGTGACCCATGAGGATTCTAAAAGGCTGAGCTGCCCTGACCCCACAGTCGATGAGCAACTACTCTCGCCTCTCCGTGGATCACTAGATCCAGCGGTGGAATATCCAGTAGAGCTTCCATTGCACTCAATTCGTTTTCCGCACTGTGCTTGTAATGGTGGTACGAGGGATGTCTTTTAAGTTTTGAATATGGAAATAAAACAACACGGTAGGTAGTTTTAAATGATTTTATTGTTTTCCGAAGTATTCTCCACGAAGATTAATACACATCTGCATGCGCTCGAACCAATTTTCGAAGCACTTATCCCACTCGTTTGCTGACAGATCCAAAACAGAATTTTTGAATGCGTCAACTGCTTCTTCTGGTGACTGGAACCTTTGACCATGCAGTCTGTTTTAAATTTTCAGGAAAATAAAGAAATCGTTAGGACATAGATCGGGACTATATGGAGGATGGTCCAATAATTGCACGTTTTCTTTCGTTAAATACTGCCTTGTTCTTTGGGCTGTGTGCGAGCTTGCCTTGTCTTAGTGGAGGATGATTCTTCTTACGGGGTTGATTTTTCAAAGCTCGGTGATGACTTTTGTCAAACAAATGGTGGTATACCAATTCGCAGTAACAGTTCTTTGCTGATTAAGAGAAATTGTGGCAATATGACCCGATTTTGACACAAATGTCGCGACCATCCTTTTCGAAACACTTCGAGAACGGATGACTTTTGTTGGTTTTTCGTCACCTTGGAACACCCAACCAGCGGCCTGTGGTTTATTTTCTGGTTCATAACAGTAAATCCACGATTCATCACCACTAACACTGCTGTACACATTTTTTGAGTTTCCGAAATTAAAACGGTCAAGCGTTTTTTGACACCAATTAACCCTGGCTGCTTTCTGCTCTTCAGTCAACAGGTGGGGTATCCAACGAGAAACTAATTTTCTTACTCCTAATTCTTCATGTAAAATTTTTTGAATTGAGAACTTTGAGATCTTCAAGGACGCCTCAATCTCGCGATATGTCACATGTCTATCTTCAATGATGGGCTTGCGCACAGCATTGACGTTTTCCTGGGTGACTGCCGTTTTTGGTGCATCCACCCTGGGATCGTCGCTAAGACTCACCCGTTCACGTTTGAATTCTTCATACCAACGGGAAATTGTCGACTGATGTGGAGCTTCGTTGCCGAAAACAGGCAGTAACTCAGCAAGGCATTCTTGTTGCGATAATTGTCTCTGAAAGTGAAAGTTGTAATAAATTATGGAGCAAACATGTTCTCGGTTGAGTTCCATTTTTCTAATGACCTTGTGACACTTAAAAATTCACTGTATTGAGAACACTGTTCGTATTGTTGTGAAACTTCGAATTTCAGTTTACTAAAGAGTGAGGTTAAGATTCACTACTGACGTTCGATCCGCGCGGCCAACTATGTTTCTATATGCAAAACTTAAAAGACATCCCTCGTATAAGCCAAACGCTGAATTTTACTGAGTTTGGCCTTTGTTATCTTGGTTCCAATGTAAGGTCACCAAACCAGGGAGCCGTACAAGAGAGATGGACGTACTATCGTCAGATAGAGCCAGTGAACCACTTTGGGTTTTAGCCCTCACCTCACTTCCATAACACGTCTTCAAGCCTTGTTAACCTTGTATTCAACTTGCCCTCTCCAGTTCAGTTTACAGTCCAGGATAATTCCTAGATATTTGACTGATTGGGATAGAACCAGTCTAGTCTCAAAGAGGATCGGCAAGACAAGCTCGTCAAGCCTCCTGCTCCTAGTGAATAGAATCAGTTCGGTCTCTCCAGCGTTGACAGAAAGATCAACACGCTCAACAACTATGCTGCAAGTCAGTTCGCCATCATGCTTTGTTGGCTGGATATTGTATGGTTTGTGAAATATGTCTAATAGGTGCGTAGGATTACCGAGGCTAGGAGCGTATGAACATACTGTCATTAAAAAATTGCGTTTTACCATGCTCCACACTAAAACGTCTGAAAAACGAAATTTGAGTGAGTTTTATTAGATTCGTTTTTGGCCTTCTTCTCGACCGCCACACCAATTTTCAAAAACTACAACGCTTTTGCGTGCTTCGCATAATAGTAATCTTGTGTTAGAATTCGGCCCAAATCCGAGCAATACTTTCCAAGTTATAGACGGGCCAAGGATTAGCGGATAGACCGGCAGAGAGGTAGACAGACACTGACGCAAATGAGAAACATGCTTTTTCGTGATGTACATGTCGTGTAACATGTCTCATTTTAGATTTTTTGTGATTACAATACTTTCTCGCTAGAGAGCCTTGGTAGCTCGGTGTTATTATGTCAGTTACCAGTAAGTGGCTCGTGGATTAGTACAGTGTTGGTACTACGGGGTCGACAAAAAATGTCAAAAACGGCCTAGTTGCTAGGCTTCGCTACTAATAGTAATTGTATTACTACTACCATTACTACTACATACTTCCTCGCTAGTAGATATCGGAGGTAAAAACCTAACCCAACAATTATCTTTTGATTCACGGTATATACTTGTTTCGGTCAGACCAGCGACTGAGAACTTCCATGTCAGACACCTCACGTCTAACTCCATTAAGCTGTTCGGGCTGTAGCTCGTGAAATAGGTATTTCAGTTATTTCCAGGGATAAATAGTAGCTATTTTGACGTGATTGAGTAACAAATATCCACAGCTTCTCATTTATAATATTATAATTATATTATTATTATAGTAGTAGGGATATATTAGTAGGGATTATCTGCCTGAGCCCCCAAAGAGCCGTGCATGCGGTTTAAGAGCTCCGTGACGCAAAACAGGGGGCTCTAGTATACCGCTGATCATAATTAGAGAGAAAGAGGGCGTATGAGCGTCATGGTTTTCAAACGACAAGATTTGTCTACTCTGGAGTGCCCGAAAATGGATTGTGGATCTCTCGATTCCTGGGACCCGACACACAGTCCGCCTCTGCAAGAGAAAGTGGAATTTTCCTGATTCAATAATGAAGGAATACATCAAATTATAGACATGCCTACTAAGCTGTATGATACGTCGGAACTGAATAAAGTGGCAATTAAGTAAGACAAGAAATCGCAATGAACAAGATTAATTTATTTAAATTTAATAGCGTAATATTACAAAAAACAAAGATTTACAACTCATGGATCATACAGTAGATAAAAAATAAAAAAGTAATAACACCACAATACTCTGCAACTAAAAATCATATCAAAATTCGACAATCAATGTACAAATTAAAAAGCAATATGGCAAAAATGGACGATTACAATAAGTCAACAAAACTGTAACTAATGAATAAAGTAAAAGCGTGATCCCCTTAGGAAAGCGACGCCATTTTTTTTATTTGACGCATGTCTTATTCTATAGCTTTTTTCACAGTTTTTAGCGGTTACGTCCTCAATGCCATATGAGATAAGTAAGCAAGCCGACTAACTGAACCGTGTGCAGATCTGGAGCTTCAAGGCAATTTACACACTGGTCAAACCAATCTTAAATGCAGCTGCTCTGGTACACCGAATTTGATTAATAAAGGGCCATTGCTTTAATTCACCAGAATATTCAGCGAACGCCGCCTATATTGCCCGTTAGTTGTATTTTCAGGTAGTTCTATGTTTTACTGACTGGCAGTGAAGCATAGATTAGGAATGGATAGACGAAATTGAAGAACGTATGTCTGAGCTTGCACATCCAAATGTTCGTATACAGAGCCAGATTGCAAAATATCTGTGTGAAGTTTGGATGTATAAAAGTAATGCCGGTAGTTTCACATATATACTAAAATTGGAACGATACAGAGAAGATGAGCATGGCCGCTGTGCAAGGATCACACGCAAAATCGTGAAGCGTTCCACATTTTTGGCGAATATAAGATCGAACGCACGTCCGAGGGGTCACCAGACGACCCCTCCATCACAGCGAGTGAAAAGCGGCGTACCTGAAGAATGCTAACCCTAGTGAGGCTTTGACAGCTACAGATATTGAAAGAGACAACGAAAAGGAGCAGGCAGCTCAAATCAAGAGACTGACGGACTGCGTGGACAATCTCAACGCCCAGGTTTCTAGCCTTAGTACTTCTTTAAATAAATTCATCTCCCGTAATGAAAGTTCTATTAAAATTCCCAAGAGAAGACACAACAGCCCTACCTCACCTATACAGACAGAAGACGACGTACAGGGTAGTGATTTTACCGCTATCCAGAGACGTAAAAAATGACAGATTCGTAAAATTAACGAATATTCTTCCCTTCCGACCAAGAAATACCAAATCAGTACCAATTCAATGGACATAACATCGCCTGTGTCTGTTTCTTCTGCTGATTCTGCAAGCGAGCCAAAGCACTCTGAAATGCAAGGACCTAGCTTAAACGAAAGTCGCAACTCTATTTCAGTCTCACAAGCTGCTTCCTTGACTGGCAGCAACACTACAACTCCGTCATCTAACGCTACCCCCGGCACGCAGGCACAATCGGCGTGTTACACCTATTGTGTTGTGTCTTGGTATTAAGATTGATCGAGCAGTAGCTGTTGATGCTGGGATACGCATCATACCTAAAAGCGAAGTCGATTATCGGAAGATAATTCGTCTTTTCAAAGAGGAAAATGTTCCTCACCGTACATTTCCTCTGCTCTCTGAGCATAACATTCACGCTGTTATTAGACGAATCCCAGCTTCAACTGCTGAGCAGGAAATCAAAGAGGGAATTTCATGAAGTACTTTTGGATGAGAATATAGATGTGGCTCCGTTGCAGGGAACATTGATTAATCCGGAGGATCACCTAGTTTTCCTGAATTATAATGTTATCCGAGCTGATAGATTAACTGGCTTGGCAGTCCTAATGAAACGTGGTATTAACTACCACAGAAGCACAAATACCGAAATGCAGAGCATTGAGGCGGCTTCCGTGGAGGTCACATCGGTGTATGTCAGGTGTGGTGCCAGGCTGCAGGAGGCGGACCTGGAAGTCCTTATGGACTACTCTGGTCCGCTTATTGTAGCAGGAGACTTCAACTGCAAACACAGAGCACGGCATTCTAGGTTGAATTCCATCAGTGGGATTCCACTGAACAACCATGTGATACGGAACGGCTACCTCATACACAGTACCGAAGAGCCCACGCACCACCCATTTAATCACCTTCAGGCACCAGATGTCATCGACTTTGTAATATCTAGAAACTATAGATATAGTATCACATTCTCGAATCATGTATGACATTTCTAGCGATCATCTTCCTGTCGTACTGGATATGCGTAATGAGCAAACCTTGGAATAGGGAACTTCTTCAAGGAAACGGGTTCATTCGGAACTATACAAGTTGTTTTTTAGAGAGTTCCCCAATATCCCGATCATAGATGATCAGAACGGTATAGATGCGGCTCAGGCGGAGTAGACAAGCCTTTTCTCTCTGCAGACATTCTTCAGAAAATTTCTGACAAAAGGGCTGCAATTAAGCAAGCGAAGAGGTCTTGTTATCCTGATGACATTCGCAGAGCGACGAATCTTGTTCATGAAGTAAGAAATGCTCTCAATGAATTCCGCAATAAGCAATGGAACGACTTTCTGGCGGGTATGCTTGACTCAAGTACTCCTCTCTGGAAAGTGGCGAAGTCGCTCAGAAACGGAAAGCGAGAACAACTCCCGCACATCCATGGTCCTGGGGGCGTAGTCTTCAGGACAGAGGACAAGGTCGAGGTTTTCGCTGATGCTATGGAATGACAGTTCTCTCCCAGCTATGATCTTGACAATAATCTCGACGAGGAGCAACAAATTGTTAGATCAGTCAGGAGATATTTTAGGGCCAACGGCGTCAGTGATCCCGGCGCTGCCATTAGTGATAAGTCCTCAGAAGATTCTTCAGCTGAAGAGTTGTACAGCACATCAGCGACTTCTCCCGAGATCTCGCATTACACAGCAGCAGAGCTTCAAGGTCATATTAAAGACCTCAAGGTGCGTAAAGCGCCTGGGGAGGATCAAATCACAAATAAGGCGCTGAAGCTGCTTTCACGGAAGTCCTTGACTAATCTCGTGGCTATTATTAATGCAATGCTAAGGACCCAGTGCTTTCCATCGGCGTGGAAGACTGCCGAAGTTATAATGATTCCAAAGAAGGTTGGTTCGATTTTTCCCAGGACTACCGTCCCATCAAGTCACCTTGCGAATTTCTCGTCAGATCACCATGTGATTCCTGACTTGCAACTTGGATTTCGGTCTGAGCATAGTACGGAGTTACAGGCGGTTAGGCTTTTGGAGAGAGTAACCAGGGGCTTCACCCTTAACAA